AGGTACAGTAGAACCTCCCTTTAGCGGATACCTCTCCATAAAGGACAATTTTTATTTGCGAAATTACCATTTTTGCAATTTAGCAACCCTCTGGTGAGAAGAAACCTCTCCCTAAAGGACACTTTGACTCAGCAATTAGGTGTCCTTTACAGGGAGGTTCTACTGTATATGGCTACATCGATATATTTTTTATTTAGTTCCCGACATCCCAATCATTCCACTGAGGAGGGTGACAGCGATCCCTGAAATGTCGGGAACTCAAAAAAAAAAAAAAAATTATGTAGAGCCACATATTTGAAATATCTAAATAGAATAATTAAGTTTTAACTTCAATATTTTTGGGTGTTTTTTAGCTATAAATAATTTGTTATAATTTATATTGTGTTACTTATAATTCCCAAGAATCAAGAAGTACAAACATCTAGGTTGTGAGTCCATGAAGATTTCCAACCAACTGGTGGTTCCAATAGCAGCGAGAGACTTTATTCTTATTCCGTCTGTATTAGAATTGTTTTCTCTGTATTCTTGTATCAGACTCACCTAAAATGTAGGTACTATGTAAATTTATTGTTTTTTTTTTTGTTTTTGTGTAATATAAAGTAGATATGTAAAATAGGTTAGAATAAAAAGAAAAATTTCGATAATAAGATGGGGTAAGTGAGGTTTTCTTACTGAACCTCCTTCAAAGCTTGAATTCTACCATTGTCTCCACGTGGGCCTCTCGACATCTGAATTTAAAATGTCAGCCTTAGCGCGCCTTTGCCATCCTTTATCTGTCAAATTATTTTGACAAACAATTTCAGTTTTTTTATCACTTTTTAGCAGTAAGAATGTTGTCTTGGTTTGTTAGTGAATCAATCTCTCACGCCTTCTCTTTAGACGAATGTGGCCATGTCTGAATATAAGAGGGGACTAAGGGAATGCGAGGTGGGCTCAGAGCGTGGAGAATTGGTGTGGAGACGCTTAAAGTGTTTTTCGACGTGATTTTTCCGCGTCTGGGGATCTCTTCGCATCCCGGTGTGACCCGAATCCGACCCCTACCAACGCTACAATAAAGAGAAGTACTGTTTTGTTTTTATTTCACAAATCGTGAGTTTTATTTACTTCTTTCTTGTTGTTGGTGTTGTACTTTTGAGTGTACGCTTTTCTGTCTATTAAGTTACATTTACTTTGGTTCATAATATCTTGCTTTTTTTTGCGATAACCCATATTGAAACCTTTGTCATATCTTAAAAGAATATTGGCAACCGTGATTTAGGAGTCGAAGAGTTCTTGTACTGTCATGTCATGAACTCCACCCTTCCTCTCTCCTGGGACGTTTAAAGTTTTGATAAAGTTACTTTGAACGCGAGTCTAGAATTATTATATTACTAGAATAAATTGAACTGATATTTGGAATTCTCTAGCCGCGGACTATTTTATTGAGCATGTATTCAATCACTCTCGAAATCCCTTTTATAGGGACTTGTATCGTGGTATTCTCCTGTAGTGGGGCTTTCGTGACCGAAGCCTTTGTGTGTGTTATGTGTGTGTGTGTGTGAGAGAGATTTGTGAATTGAGATTCTACGGACAGTAGAAGTTCGTTTTATGTATAAAAGAAACATTTGCGCTTTTAAGTCCTTTTATTTTATATATATAGATGGCGCGTTATTGCTTTGTGTTAATTTATACCTAACTGGCCTTGTCTTTATAGTTTGCTGAAGAGCATTGCTCGAAGCAAATATTTGAATGTAATTCAACTGTCCTATAAGCTTATGTCCGTAGTTTACTTGAAAACCATTTCTAAGATTCCATCCTTCAGTGTAGCATATAAAAGCAGAATGATCCAATACAGTATTAGAGCTCTAAGAAGCGGTCTGGTGGATTAAATTGGCGAAACCGCTGGGAGGGTTCACCACTGATGAGCCAAGCCCTCCCAATAATTTTTTTCATCGCAGTAAGGACAGTAGAAGTTTGTTTTATGTATAAAAGAAACATTCGCGCTTTTAAGTCCTTTTATTTTATATATATGGCGCGTTATTGCTTTGTGTTAATATATTGTATATATTCTACAGGTAAACTCCGTATAAATAGTATAAACGCACAACGAATCCAAAGTTTTGCGGAGGAGCCTCTTTTATTATACTTTTGCAAGCTTTCGAACCTTTCGGTTCTTCCACAGGCGTGGCTAGTATGACTACACTAACAGGGTATAAGCGCGCTTGAGCCATTATATACAACATATAAATTTACATGCGGAGTGATATTTCAAACGTAATAAAATAGAAATAGGAATTATGACTATAAAAATAAAATAAAAATAAAACTATGTAAATGAACTTATAGATTTTTAAAATTTAGATGAAATTATGGCAAAAACTTTTAAATACGATAAAAGTTAAGTAAAATAATGATATTCACTGTATGTAAGCCGTGTGACACTTTAAAATTTTTTCGTAACATTTAAAACCAGTAAAATTTTAAAACATCTCAACACAGAAAAACCAAGCTGGGGTCCACTCCACCCGACCACACACCCGAGTATATCACGGTATAACTATTGAGATATTATATGATATATTTCCGGTAGATCTATTTTTCTATTTATGCTGTTTGTTTGTGTTGATATGATGGATTCCAGTACCAATCTGTGCTGCTTATTGTTTATGTGCTGATATAGGATTTTAGGATGATCTAAGTTGAAGTTATGGCCAGTGTTTGAAATATGTTGGTATATAAGTGATTTCGGGTCTCTATTGTTTATATTTCGTTTGTGTTCAGTGATTCTGATTGGTACTGGAATCCATCATATCAACACAAACAAACAGCATAAATAGAAAAATAGATCTACCGGAAATATATCATATAATATCTCAATAGTTATACCGTGATATACTCGGGTGTGTGGTCGGGTGGAGTGGACCCCAGCTTGGTTTTTCTGTGTTGAGATGTTTTAAAATTTTACTGGTTTTAAATGTTACGAAAAAATTTTAAAGTGTCACACGGCTTACATACAGTGAATATCATTATTTTACTTAACTTTTATCGTATTTAAAAGTTTTTGCCATAATTTCATCTAAATTTTAAAAATCTATAAGTTCATTTACATAGTTTTATTTTTATTTTATTTTTATAGTCATAATTCCTATTTCTATTTTATTACGTTTGAAATATCACTCCGCATGTAAATTTATATGTTGTATATAATGGCTCAAGCGCGCTTATACCCTGTTAGTGTAGTCATACTAGCCACGCCTGTGGAAGAACCGAAAGGTTCGAAAGCTTGCAAAAGTATAATAAAAGAGGCTCCTCCGCAAAACTTTGGATTCGTTGTGCGTTTATATTGTATATATGTATATGTTATTTTGTAAATGTATTCACTTGTTATATGCGCATATAGATAAAAAGATGTAGAAACTATTGATTAGAAGAATATCGATATAAACGAAATAATCATTTATCATCACCTTTTTACATTAATAAAAAAAAAAAAGTAGCAGAGCGTGGTTTCGATCCACGGACCTCTGGGTTATGGGCCCAGCACGCTTCCACTGCGCCACTCTGCTGTACCTAAACTGTGCCATTTATATTTTGTTAAGTTGTATTTTAATATCTCGATTAAATTTGAAAGGTAGAGGTTTCAGGGATAATATAATAGTTAAATATATCAAAGTGGTGTGATAATTCTGAGAGAATGTTCATTACTAGTTTTAACCAATTATTTTAATATATACTACCTTCTTTTTTATGAGAAGTTTTGTATTTTATAGCGGTTCCGGAATGAAACAGAGCACACGCCGCAATCTACTTATTTTACTGTAGAAATAACGGGTGATTATTTTTCCAGCATGAGAAGAAATATGATTTAAAAATATAATATGAAGATTAAACATCTACAAAATATTGCTCTAATTAAGCATAAGAGTAAACATTTTTTATCAAAAGATAAATGCAAAAAAAAAAAAAAACGAGCAGTATTAAAAAATATACCATTATCAATATTACAGGACATAATAAAATATTTAAGAAAAAGGCATCTCCTTATCGTGCAACTGAAAGTTGCTGATGGCTGGCGCCATCTATCGGAATAAATATCAACTATTCTCGTTGATTTTTAATTATTCCAGAATTGGCCAAAAACCCATTCCTGATTAATCAAGAAAAGCTAACCACTGGGCGTTTTTTTTTTTTTTTTTATGAAACAGAAAACTGGAATACATAGCATTGACAAAGAGTCTATGGCAACATATAGCATTAGGAAAAATACAATATAAAGAACATTAAAGAATTTGACACAATATAACATTGAAGAAAAAAAATAATTATTATTATTATGCAAACATAGAGAAGAGAGAAAAATTAAACAAATCAAAACTATGAAAAAATACATGGGGTAATTGTTTTAAAAATAAACAAAAGCATTAAAACACGAATGTTTCTCTTACACATAAAAAACTTCTACTGTCCTTACTGCGATGAATAAATATTGGGAGGGCTTGGCTCATCAGTGGCGAACTCCCCCAGCGCTTCGCCAATTTAATCTACCAGACCGCTTATTAGAACTGTAATACTGTATCGGACGATTCTAGTTATATATGCTACACTGAAGGGTGGAATCTTAGAAATGGTATTTAAGCAAACTGTGAACACTTAAGTTGGTCGCCTTGCGGCAATTTGCTTCCTAAGCGTGTATACTCAGATGTAAACTAAATTACTTAGTTTATTAAAAGCCTGAGAATTAGAAGAGGTGACATTCAAGTATAAACTGAAATACCACCAGCATATTAAATTCTACGATACCAGTTTATAAAAATCGAACTTTTAAAAAACATTTCCAAAATTTACTCTGAGATGGTCTACCAATGATAAAAAAAGAATTCTTATCGGATAATATGCATAAACCTCCTACTGTAAATGACCGTGTTGACCAGATTTTGTAGAATAAAATTGTCAACAAAACATGTCTTTCGGTTGTAACTCAAGCGAGGTTTTACAGTTTATAAAATTATGAAGAAAAAAAATAGCAGAGCGTGGTGTCGGTTCACGGACCTCTGGGTTATGGGCCCAGCACGCTTCCACTGCGCCACTCTGCTCTGATAAAATTTTCTTTATTATTAATTTTTTAACTATAAAATCCTTACTAAAGGTAAATAAAATTAAATATTTTATTGGGCCCATTAAACTCACCCATAAGAAAAAGTCCTTTTGATAATTTCCTATATGTGCAGGTGAAACATAGGTCCAGATAGAAAGATAAACACATAAAAAATGTTCAGTATAGAAAGGTATATAAATACAAAGGTTCAGTATAGAAACATTGGTAAAGACGATGCTAGGTTTAGAAATTGTCGATAAATTATAACGTTACTTCTTAATACAGTAGAACCTCCCTGTAAAGGACACCTAATTGCAGAACCAAAGTGTCCTTTAGGGAGAGGTGTCGTCTTACCGGAGAGTTGTTAAATAGTAAAAATGGTAATTTTGCGAATGAAAACTGTCCTTTGTAGAGAGGTGTCCTCTAGCGGGGTGTCCGCTAAAGGGGGGTTCTACTGTATATACCATTAAACTCTATTATATATACAGTTTTATAAAGCAAAAAATAAGATTTGAAAAGGGAGGCTCATCAGTGGTGGATCGAGACTGCTGGGAGGGTTCACAACTGATAAATGATGCTTTCGTTTTTGAATTTTTATTCTCTGCAAACAAAGGCCTGTATAGAAATGTTTTATTATTATATATATGTATGTTTAAAAATTTCCTTTAAAAATTAATGCTAATTTTCATCAATAGATTTGGTGAATTGATTAAACACTATATCATTATAGTCAGTGTATTTCCCATTTATTTATATTAGGTAGATAGAAACTATATTAGTGAGCATATAGTCTCACACTTTATTTTAAGCTCTATCAAAGTAAGACTTCAATAATGCTTAGAACTGGATTTCATTATATACCCAATTGTAGAACGGGCTAATATTCTAGTTATTATGTATTTGTATATAGTCATGATTTATAGGAGATTTTATATTACAAACAGGATTTCAGATATTTCAACATGCTTCAACTACAGATTCTGGGCTCGGCGTTTTTGAAATATAAACCGAAAAACATCTGCACAGAAACACAAGCGGCTATGGCATTGGAGTAGTACTGCTCCTACTACATGAAGGGAAAGAAAAGCCAATCGCCTACACTTCAAGAACTCTCAACGCTGCAGAAAGGAATTATTCCACAATGGAGGTCTGGTTGTAGTTGTGCTGAATATTTACAAGTTTAGACCTTACTTGTTTGGGAGACATTCCACAGTAGAGTTTCGGATCATCAATCTTTTTGTAGGCTTACTTATAGAAACTTATAGGATCCTTCGGGAAAGCTAGTTAGATGGGAATTTGACGTTTGTATTGTCTATTTGAGTGGCAAGAGACATTAGAATGTAGATTGCCTCTCAATAAATCCCCCTCCGTAAACAAACAGAGACAACATTCCATATTTAACCTCTATTACCAACGTGAGGAAATAACAAGAAAAGATAGTAGTAGTAATATATAGTATAGCTCAGATTTGTGTTTGTGGAAATAAGACTTTTTTGAACTTTCAAAGTCTAATTATACACTGCGTGACATTGAAAATGGAACACCAAGAAATAGTGGCCAGAAAGTGATGAAACTCGGCAGACTGAGAGAGACAGGGACGAACAATCAGTGATCTTTATTTCAAAATGATAGTCATAATACAGAGCGAGAACGGCGTCGGCTTAGTAGCAAGTAGGACCACCGCGGACGGCGATGCACGCAGCAACACGTCTAGGTAGAGGGTCAATCAGAGTACGGATGGCGTCCTGAGGGATGGCTCTCCATTCCCTCTCAACCATTTGCCACAGTTCGTCTTCTGAACGCGGCTGTGGCAAGGCATGCAAACGGCGTCCAATGATGTCCCAGACGTGCTCGATTGGTGAGAGATCAGGAGAGTACGGTGGCCAGGGAAGCATCTGTACATCTTACAGAGCTTGTTGGCTAATGCGAGCAGTGTGCGGTCGGGCGTTATCCTGCTGATAAAGGGCATTGGGTACCCCCTGAAGGTAGGGGAGTGTCACCGGTCGCAGCACATCATCAACGTATCGTTGGGCCGTTATAGTGCCCTGAATACGAAGTAAAGGTGACCTGGAATCATACGCGATTGCGCCCCAAACCATGATTCCACGTTGTCGCACGGTGGGGCGTTCCACAATTGCTGCCGGATTGGACCTTTCTCCACGTCGACGCCACACGCGTACACGGCGACTATCACTGGACAAGCAGAAACGCGACTCATATGAGAACACGACCCTGTGCCATTCCGTCATCCACGTCGATCTAGCCCGGCACCATTCCAAACGTTGGCGCCTATTCGGTGGGGTCAATGGCAGTCTTCTTAGCGGACGGCATGAGTGCAAGCCATTAGCAACCAATCGACGGGAAATGGTTCTGGTCGAGATGGAATGATCTAGGGTATCTTGCACATGTTGCAGGATGGCGGTACAAGTGGCTTGTGGGGCCGCCACTGCTTGTCGAAGGATACGCCGATCCACACGTGCTGACGTCACTCTGGTTGCACCGACATTCCTATAAATTGCCACATTTCCTTGTTCCAACCATCTTCTCCACAGTAGGTGCACCGTGCACGCACCAAGGTGTGTATCAGCTGCGATTTGACGTATGAACCAACTTGCCCTTTTTAGTCCGATCACCATGCCCCTCGTAAAAGCGTCTGTCTGCTTGAACTGCCTCCGTTTACGATGACCTGGCATTCTCTGTTATTACACGTGTCTTTTGACACAAGAACGAAATTTCTACAATGATTTTCCTTGAAGAAATAACGACACGAATACTGTCCTTTCTGCAAGTTCCTTCCCTTATATCTTACTCCATGTGCGTACGAGAGCTGCGCATTTTATATCATTTGCATATCTCGGTTATGCGCGTCTACCCTGAAATTTGCATAATTTTCTGGCCACTATTTCTTGGTGTTCCATTTTCAATGTCACGCAATGTATTATTTGGTAGATTTTAAAGGCTCAAACATAAAAAACTTTTAAAATTTTTGTAGACCTGTGTAATGTAAGGTGCAGCACTGGTCGCGATGATAAATGAATTTGATTGGTTAAAAATTTACACGTAATTTGTTTACACGATGAATGTTAATTTGTTTACACGATGAATGTTTTTAAAAAGGCAAGATTATCCAATCGCCTTGAAACTTTAGGAAGTTATTTACTATACTACTGGGAAGGTTTCTGGTTTGAATTCGATTTGAAATAAATATTATTTGCAATTTTATTTGCAAATTTTCTACTTTCACTCGCAAGCAGCGCCTCTCGCGGGTTCTGGTGAAATTACATTTATAAATTGTAAAAATTATAAAATGTGTTCCAAATATAATAAATTCAATATTTAATTGGAGGATTTAGTAATGTAATATTCCAATGACGTCGTAAAAAAACTTGGCATTTCAATATTAATATATATTTAAAGAAAATATCTTATTTATAATTTAATAAATATATAGACCATCACTCTTCATATATTCAACCTTTTCATACGCCATCCAAAAGTTAGAAATATTAAATATTTCTCTTTGAAATTAAAAATGATTTTTCATAAATAAAAAAGAAACTTATGCGGTTAAACTGTTTGTATAGCTTTATAATTATACGCCGCAGTCATTTATAAGTATTATTAGTCAGTTTAAATATTAGTTACGAACGGAGAAATACGTCCAGGATAGCCTAGTGGACATGGCACCTGCCCGGTGGGCGGAAGGTTGTGGGTTCGATTCCCGCTCCTGGACACTTTTATTTTTCCGTTCGCCATTACTCTTCATATTTTTCACCCTTCCATACGTCATCCATTCATATATAGACCATCACTCTTCATATATTCAACCTTTTCATACGTCATCCAAAAGTTAGAAATATTAAATATTTCTCTTTGAAATTAAAAATGATTTTTCATAAATAAAAAAGAAACTTAAGCGGTTAAACTGTTAGTATAGCTTTATAATTATACGCCGCAGTCATTTATAAGTAAATTTAATAAATGTTTTCAAAAAAGGTATGTGTTTCAAATATACATTTAAACGCATATAAGAATATTTTATGTGTTTATAAATTTATATATAGGTGGATTGGATGTTTTCTAGAATCGTTTTAACAAATGTTCGTTAGGCAAACTTTTACTCGGGTAAAAATCGGGCGAAGCCAGTAACATATATATATTTTGAAATCCAATATATGCCTTTTATTATCTAATATATATATATATGATGAGGTTTCTGCTGTGGTGTGCTTCTGTGTCGTAATCCTGTCGACTCTCTGTAGTGATTGCTGTTGAAAGCTGCTGTCGTGGTGTAAGATGGTGATGCAGTCGTGATGTGGTTGTGTAGTCGTGATGGTGATGTGCAGTCGTGATGGTGATGTGCAGTCGTGATGGTGATGTGCAGTCGTGATGGTGATGTGGTAAGGCACACAGAAACGAATCAAAGGGCAAACCGAGGCATCGGGGAGAGAACCCAGCGACCAACGGCCACTTACTAACGGACTAACTTCTGCTGTCTGCTATCTGGTAACACTGAACTGACTAACTATCTAACTGCTAACGAACTTTCTGCTATAATATCGCAACCCTCAACCGTCTACTCTGGCCTTGACTCTGATTGGCTGCGCGGCAAGCCCTTTGTTAGCTCAGGCGTAACGATGCGCCTCGGTGTCTAGGTTTGATCTCAGGTTTTGGTTTCTATAGTATGACCTTGGTTGCTACGTTCTCTAGATGCCTTTGTATTTATTTGAACACATCAAATCGATACATACAAAATTAATGGGTTAACAGAGGATTGGGTACAATGATTGAAAGTTAACATAGAGTAGGGGGTGTAAGAAGGGGAGAGGGAGTATTTACACATGTGTTTTATCATTAAATTACCACAGATGGGCCCCCTGAGTTAAAGAATTTAAAAAGGGGCAGCCTGAATTAAATTCTGGTGAATGGGAAGTAATTTTTGGGGAAAATTTAATTGGGTAAACAAACAAAGCTATTTACAGGGTGGTAAGAAGTTGC